ATATATATATATATATATAACAAAACATATTTTTAAACGTATTTATATAAAACATATTAAAAATAATATATTACAAACATATTAATAATATATTAAAATTTTATTAATAAACAAAAATTTGAAAAAAAAAAAAAAAAATTTGGCCGGGGCCGGATGGGACCAGTTATGGGACCGGAACCGGGACCGGATTCCTTAACCGGTTACCGGTAAGCTTGACCGGTTACAAGGTATTTCACCGGAACCGGGACGGGGACCGGTTATGACAGGACCGGTTACCGCCGGTTTTTGTCTTGATTAGGACCGGTAGGGACCGGTTAAGGACCGGGCCGGGACCGGATTTTGGCCATCTCCAAATTAAGAACTAATACACCAAATAACCTTTGATTGAAAAGCATGTAACACTATTATATCATCGTATTATACGCGCAGTTTTCACAAGAATTTACAAAATTGAACCCAAAAACGTTAACGAGAACTCGAACCGGACATATCGGCATGTCGAATTTACAAAACTTTTAGGACCTACCCGACTCACGTCACGTGGTGTGGGTTCGGTTAACCGAACCTCGTATCCTATCAAGTAAGCCACCGGCTTTTCTCTTAGCCCTCGACGTCCCATTTTGAACGAGCTCAGACAGAGTGCCATAACGCTTCTCTTCTTCCCTCATCTCCTTCCATTTCGTTCGATCGTTATAACAAATATCGTAAAGAATGGCGATACAATTCTCCTTGTTTTGTTCACAATTAGTCTCTTTAATCAACGAAATCAAGATAGAAACCGCCCCAAAATCGCCCAATTCCTCCATCGCCTTTCGATTGCTCGAAAGCATAGCAAGGATGGCTAACAACTCGTCCACATGAACCTGATTCACAATTTTGTCCAAAAGAACTCTCACCGCACCATCTTTAACAGCTCGAGATCGGTTTTCATGAACCATACACAAGCTAAAGATCGCAGAAGCTACGTCTTTCATCGCTAATGGCTGCCCGTCTTCCAAAAGATCAAACAGCGGTTTCAGAGCACCGGCTTTCCCTATGAGCGACTTATTCGAATCGATAGCCGATAACGTGAAAAGGGTAGCAGCCGCATTGCTTCTAGTTTCGATTTTTCCCGATCTCAAAGCGTCCATTAAAACAGATATAACCATCGGTGTCTCGGCCACAGGTTTCTTGTTACTCTCGTGTATAGAAACATTCAAAAGGGTTGTGATCAGATCCTCGTGAAGATCATTGTCGATTTCACTTTGGGACTTGAATTGCAACGGGATTAACAGTTGACGTATGTATTCATCGGATTCACCAAATAATGCACGGAAAGACGGTGTTCTCTTTGTCAATGATCGTAACGTTTTCGCAGCCTCTTTCTGATCAGACAATGTGGATGATAGTTTGTTTATTTGATCGATGAAAAGATTGCGATCGGCTTCAACTAACGGGTATTCATCCGAGTATCGAAGAGGGTTCGGAAATTGAACATGATGATTTTTGCACCATTGTGTTATCAGATCTTTAATCAAATGATTTGGTGTTAAAATCGTATGCGAAAGAACTTCTTGAGTTCTTGGACACGTTCTGTTTCCAGATTTCAACCATTCTTGAATCATATGTCGATCATATGTCTGCAAATTATCACCAAAATAATCAAATTAATTCATAAAAATCATGCCCAATCCTTTAACCATTTTCTGAGAAATCTCGGTTAATCACTAACCCTGGATCATAAATTTCAAAATATATTTTGAGAAATTATTCTCAAAATCCACAAATTGGAAGTAAGAATCTAAAATGGGATTTATGAACATGAAGAAGAATCAACAACCCATTACAAGAATTATGAGATTATTACAACAAAATTAATGCAAAATAACCATGAAAATGGAGGAAAATTACCTGGCCGGAAGAGATGATAACAGGGTCTCTCATGAGTTCTTTAGAAAGAGGACAACGAAATTGTTGAGGACAAGAAGCGAGATACGACGTCGTACCGCCATTGTTATTCAGACATGATCGATGATTTGGGGTTTTTCCCTCTTTCAAAATTTTCAAATCCTGCAAAATTTTATTCGATTTCTCAACAAACTCCATGAATCGAAACTCATTTTCATCTTCGATCGAAGTATCCTCAACAATCAATTGAACAATTCGTCGTAATTCCTTCTTCAATTCCGTCATCGTAGCCATGTCCACATTCGGAATTCCTTCAATCGCCTCATTCTTCGCCATTAAACCCACATACGCACCCGCTTGAGAGTGATTTTTTCTAGATTTCTCCAACAATTAAGTGGAAGAATGTGATGATGGTGTTGTGGGTGTAGCCGAAAATGGCTAAACACGGTGTGTGAGTGCGTGTTTTCAACTTCTAGTTTTTTCTAAATCTGAACTAATCTCTCTTTCTCTCTCTACAATTTCTGAATAAGCAAAGCATATGCGTGTGGGTTTTAGAGAGAGAGAAAGAGTGATGAAGAAGGTTGTGTACAGTGGTGTCGGAGAAGCGTGGGGAACGAATGTAATTTTAGGATATTTATATTCACATATTGATCCTTGTAAAATATAGAAAGTGCACATTTAGCCCAGATTTCAAAAATATGTTACACCATCTCCAATCCAATCATTAAAAATAAAACACTAAAAATATAGGTACATTGAACACTAATTGTTTGTTTACCTCTTAATAGTTTCATTAAGAGACGATCTCTTAATCGTTAAGAGATGAATCTTGTTTGACAAAATAAAGTCTGCTTCTTAATGGTTCTAAAACCTTCTGAATAATTTTGTATTTTGGATCTCCCTTAATTATTAAGAGCCCTAATTTCATTGTAGACAATTACCAAAAATTATATTTCATTTTGCACTATATCATGAAAGCCTCTTAATCATTCTGATCATTTAATCATTCTACACCAAACCATTCAACAATTGTCAAACAGCTTCTAAAAGAATTAACTACAACTATACTATAAAGACGATACAACTTTTTTTAATATTATAATAAAAATAAAATAATATATACATTTATAAAAATTAATATAATATATGTATAATCATAAAACATAATATTATATCGATATATCATATATAAATGCCAACTTTATTGACCTTTAAATATAGAGGTCAACTTTAGAGACCGAAATTTATCATTAATTTCTTTTTATTTCCATCTCTTTTTTTATTAATTTTTTTTCAAAAACTCGAGTTTTTTTTTTTACTTTTATTCCTCTGTAAAGAAGGTTTCAATAACACATTGTAACAAAAAAATTGGTTGGTTTCTGACAAAAACTCATTTCAGTTTGGATTTCTTTTTTAATATTTGTAATCAAAATAATCATAATTTAATATTTTGTTTTAAAGAGTTTTTTTCATGGATGGAATATCTTTTTTTTTTTAAATGGAAGGTGCAGATTTAGAAGAAAAAAAAACTTGTCTTTCTGCATAAGGTTATCCTATAAAAACTTACTAAATAAGTCATTTTTTATATCATTAAGTCAGTATCAAGTAATTATATATGGTTGATCGAATAAGTTGTGTGTCTGTTACGATCATTAAGTTACTAACAAACACGCTCTAAGCACCACATAAAAGAGTTGATATTTTTTAAGTTACTTGGTGCCTTAGTTTAAACAGTTAAATTTTTCAATCCCTGATCAGTATTTTATTTATAGCAGGTATCTTATTTGTCAGTTTGTGCACTTTTTGATTAATCACATGAGTCCTTAAAGATGATAGATAAATAAACCTCCGGGGTTTGAACTGTTTGATAGATAAGTAAACTCAATTCTTGACTAGCCGAGAGACCCAAGGATTAATGAATCTCGGTCAACACCGCCTAGTTGGATTTCGATAAGAATGAAAGTCAAAGTGAGAAGTGTAAAAAATGATCTCCACTTTTATAAAATTTGTAAACGATTGAGCCGATTTGAGTTTTCGACAACGGAAAGATATAGGGACTAAATTGAGAATTTATTTATTTAACAGGGACCAATGAGTGAAAAAGAAAATATGAGCGGCGGGGGTGGGGGCAAATGAGACTGAGGATGCAATCACGGAAATGTGGCCATACAGCTGGCAGGGGGGCTACGCGGACCAAACCCCTCCCCTCACTTTCATATATGTTTTCTTTTTCAAAATATTTTATTAAATGATTAACTTTAATATATATTAAAATATGTAAACGTTTTAAAATTAGCAACGGTTTGGTGTATTAAATATTTCTAGCAATTATAAAAAACAAATTAAAAAGAAAAAGTTTAACAAAAAATTAATATTGGTGCATAAGCGTTAGGGGTGTGAATGATACGAGTCGAGCTTGAATAATTTGACTCGAATTTTATAACCATTACTCAAGCTCGAACTCGACTTGAGAACTCGCGAGTAGTTTAAAACCAAACTTAACTCGAACTTGATTGCAGTTTTTTAAACTCGAACTCGTTTAAAGCTCGAACTACTACTCGAATCAAGCTCACTCGTCGAATTTTATGAAATTTTAAAATCTTTTCTTATAAATTATTAACTTAAAAGGTGTTCTCTTAAATTTCAAAAAACTAAAGTGATCCACCTCAAACTTAGTCATCAAATAGACAAAGTTACAAACTTCATTCACCTCCCTCTCTTTTTATAACACATTTTCATTGTTCTTTTACTATCTCTCTTTCAATGTGGGACAACTTCACCAACACTTCTATAGTTTTGCTTTTTTTGCTTTTTTTAATTATGATTTTAAAAAAATATTGATTAGTTTTTGTAGTTAAAAATGCACAATATTATTCAAATATTTAAAAATATAAGACATTTTTATTACATTACATTATACATATTATATTATAAAACTAATTATATTTTTAAAACTAACTATAGATAAAAAAAAATCTTGTATCTCACGAGCTTTTCGAGTCGAGTATTGGGTAGCTCGACTCGACTCGTTAATATATCAAGTCGAGTTTGAGCCGAGCCTATACGAGTCGAGTTTTGACCGAGTTGATCTTGAATATCTCGCAAGTCGTCTCGTATGTTTACACCCTTACACAACGTTACATAGAATTTTGGTTTTAGACTATTAATAACATTAAAATGATATAGTTTTATTGAATTTGGCACACACTAAAATAATGCCAAAAAAATAAATTGATCGAAAATGATTTGACATAAAATATATGCAATACAAGATCTTATATATTTACTGAAGATGATCTTAGAATATTTCTAATAAAATAGATAAAATAAAGATTTTTAGCAATTTTTGATTCAACGACTATGTTATCTTGTATATTAAAATAGAGAAAAAATGAGAGAGACTGTGAAAAATTTCTAAACATAAAGATCAATAATATTTGATTAAATGTACTGAATATTTTAACAATATAATTAATGATAAAATTACTAAAATAGAATAGTTGTTCAAGTTAAAAGTGATTTTTTTTAGATTTTATTTTTTAATATAATATTTTAAATAAAATATAACATAGCTGTTAAAAATGCTCTTGAATATGATTTTTTATACACCCTGTCCAACTTTCAACTGATTGGAATCTCTTTCAATTTTACAAAACTACTATATAATTCATAAAACCTTGATAGCATGCTAAATGACCTTTTTTTTGTCAAACTTATTTAAAAAATTAGTTTAAAAGTCTTATTATTTTAATAAAAAACCATGTTCTAAAAACTCTAAAAATCACAAGATCTTTAAGAACTACTGAATAACAGTTCTGATGAACAACCATTAATTTTTAACAGTTATACGATTCTAGAAGATGATCTAAAATTGGGTCATTTACACATGTGTCATTGTATATGTTTTTTTTTATATATATTTTTTATATGTATTGATTAACATATATTTGTTTCATATTTACCAAAAAAAAAACACGTAAAAAGGTTTGACATTGTGAACCGAATACTATATGAATCAAAATTATGTTAATCAATACATTAAATACTATACTTAGATAGAAAAAAATATATGTGAAACAAAACCTTAAAATATAATTTCTCATAAATCTCATAAATTTTGAAGTTTTAAATGATTAAACTCCTATTTTAATTAAAAATAAACTAGAATGGTACTCGTGCAATGCAACGAGATACATATTCATTTTAATGTTTTGTTTTATTTTGTCTCTATTGATATAATACTGTTTATGTCGTTTTGAGAAAGATAGCGTTTTTTATTTTGAATAAAAATAAATTTGAAGATATCATAAAATTTTGAAAAAGTATATTGATATTAATATCAAACTAAATTCTTAAAACTTCTCTTTTTTTGTACAATTTCTTTAATTATATTTTTATTATAATTTAATTTAGGTTTAATAGCAAAATAATTAATTTTGGATTAACAATATTATTTTTATAAAGATAATGATTTTGTTAGAACTCAATGATTATCCTAATTATATTTTAAATTTTTTATATTTAAAATGAGACGTTTATCATGTATTTGATTATGTTTATCTGTAGTTAGTTATACGAATTCAAAATTGAAACTTTAATAAGTTGTACTTAAGCATAATTTATTTGTAATCTTAAATTTTAAGTATTATACATTAATTAACAGTACTTCATGCATAAATAATGATTTTTAAGAGTTTTTGTCAAATGTTTTATAATATAGTATAGATAAAATATAAAAGTGAAAATAAAAATAAAATAAAGTTGCTATTTATTACTATTTACTAAAAAATATATTCTAAACATGCTTAATTAACATTGATATATTGAGTCTTAATTTCAAATTAAAATGGATTTGCAAACATTTAATAAAGATCATTCTCAATAGTGAAATAATAAAAGAAAGGGTCCAAATTGTCGTTTTTTCAAAGATAATGGACCACTTGAAACAAAAGATAAATAATAGAGGGAGGTAAATGGCATTATTAGGATGAGGAAGGATTGTGTGGAGCCGGTATAGAACTAAAATCCGTCCAACTGACAATAGTGAACACCCCCCACTCATGTAGAAGGCGACATGTGTAACGGTGGCATAACATCCAAATTAATGAATAATCCATAAAAATAACATTTTGTCTTATTCCTGTTCTTTTATTTTCAATAAATCAAATATTTATTATATGTACATAGAAGGGTATTAGTACAATGCAGAAAAATATATTTCGATTTTAATGTTTTTTTTTATTTTTTGTCTATTGATATAACATAGTTTTATATAATTTTAAGAAAGTGATAATGTTTTTATTTTTGATAAAGATATAAATTTAAAATATTTTAATAATTTTTAAAAAAAAATATCTAGTATCAAATTAACTATTTAAAAGTTATTGGTTTTTGTGTAATTTTGATTTAATTTTTTTATTGTAATTTAATGTAGGTTTAATAATGAATCAATTTATTTTTGGTTTTAATAATGCAAAT